CACACACACACACACACACACACACACACACACACACACACACACACACACACACACCCCTCCTTGCAAAACTGCTCGGACAGCACATGAATTATGAAAATACCCATCAATATGCAACAATCTTTCATCACTCATTCTTTTGGCTGTCATTGTTACAGTGTGCACGTCTGTTTAGCTAGTCCCCCAAGGACGCTGTATTCATGTAGGATTTGTGTCATCTTCTCTGCTCTACATCTCCACATCCCAAACTGTCAGTAAGAGCCTGAGCACATATACACTGCACAGTAGTTATAGTTTAGAACACTGTGTACTGTGTATTAAGAGGCCTTGTGGTTCTTCTAACACCCGAAGAACAGCCAAGCTCCAACTGTGTCATATTCCTCCAAATGCTGCGATGTCAGAGACGAGCTACCAGTAGGCGGGGAGAACTGGAAAGGGTAATGGGATGTAAAGTTGCTGGTTAGAAAAGTGTAAAGTGAGAAGATTATTACACTGTGCGCCCATGCAGCGACACCTGTCTCATTCATTTAGGGAAAAGTTGTGGTAGCCTGCCATCCCAAACAACAGACTGATATTTATTTATGAAGATTAATCAATTATTTCCTCCTTTGTCCCAGGCAAACTAAGAAATAACGGACCCGTTTTACAGTCATCACTCTATTTTGCAACATTTAGTCTTGCAGCATAAATATCAGCTGTGCCACTGAAAACACCCAGGTAAATCTGATTTGTTGATATGTCTGATACTAAGATTTGGTTGTTGTTGGAGTGTGTGCCCTTGAAACTAGTGGAAAGAGTAAACGTTCAACACAGAAAAAACAAAACAAAGGGCTAAAAAATGAAGCTGAACTTAAATTTAAAGCAACAGCTGTCACTGTCGTAATGGCAAATACTTTGTTGACCTTGTTTATTTTTGCCACCAGCTCCGGGTTTCATACTCAGAGGGCCTCTTTCACTTTAAATCTAGTTTGTGTTGCAGTGGCACAAGCTAGTAGAAGACAGCCTTAGGAGGACAGAAAATATTGCTAAATCTGCTAAGCTCTGACGTTTAGTAGTGACTCACCAATTTTAAAACATGGTCTTATTTTATGGTCCCTTGAGCAGCCTATACTGGCTGTTAAAAAGGACTATGTCCTGGTCCTTATTGTCAATCCTGTGCTGTACTAATGGGTCTGCATTTTTCACAGTTCAAAATAATCCTTTTTTTAAAACTCTTACTGGGCCTAAGTGCAGCTGCTGAGTTCTTCCACTGTTTGAAATTATCCGTTTTAGTTCTCTATCCTCCCGCTCCCAAGCACACTGTTATTTGACTGGCTGCGCCTCATAAACAGATGAGCTGAAGAGTAGGTGGGCGGAGCTTCTGTGCTAACAACCAGAGCCGTGTGCCTGACCATATTAGGAATCTCTGCTCTTACTGACATCATACAGACAAGTGTAGGGGAAAAAAAAAAAAACCTGCCTGAAGCCTCTGACACACAAGATCTACCAGAGGATATGCTGACCTCATTGTTTGAAACTTTGGCTATGTTTAATATACAGAAAATAAAATGTTAAATGTTTTATTACAATGTAAAAAGATCACATTAGGATTGCGGTGAGAAAATGCGCTTTTACTCTGCAGTAGACTGATAGAATTCAATGTTGGCGCAATTCAGATGAGATAAAACACTTGTGTGATTGTCAGTGAAGTGAGTCAAAGAACTGAGCCTTTGAATTCTAAAGGTGAACCAATACTCGGTATTCAATCTACATCTGAAGGTCAGTGGACTGTCTGATGTACACAGTGCTGAGGCTGACCCCAGTGGTAATGGACGACACAGAGTGGCAAGCGGGTGATTAAGGAGTTGTATTTTTCACAGGTAACACTTTCAAGTGTTGCTGCTTGACTGTCAAAATGTATGCAATTTGTTTGCCATTGTTGTTTTGAATGGCCCTGGAATCACAATACTTGTCCTTTCCCTTTGTTGCATCCCTGCAGCAACCCAGTGTAGGTGCAGAGTGTGAGTAGCAAGCCAAAATATCTGGATACACCAATGCTTGCTGAATAACAATAATGTATGGATAAACTTTGCGGTTGAAATATTGTTCAGGGTCAAATTAAAGACTGTCTTGGACCTGAAACTAGACCGGAAAATCTAATCTATGACTGTCAACAGACTTCTCCAGCTGGATAAAAAGAAAACAAGTGCATGACAGGTGGAGCAGAACCCTGGTGTAACAGTTTCCCCATAAGAAGCATGTGTCTGATTGGAGAGGTGTCCCACATATTTCATGATGAGAAGGGATTTTGGCCCTCCAGGGGCACAGGAAGAGACCATACAGTACATATACCATCTGCATACGCACCATTTATTTCTGTATACATGTCTCCTGGACTTAAGCCAGTGCAGTATACACACAGATAATGCTAACATAGCATGCTCTATGTCTAAGTAATGGCATGATTATTAAAAAAAAATAAACAAAGGAGAAGAAAAATAATAGTTCCTCTTGCAGCGTAACTGAAGACACATTCTGTTGCTTTACCTGTTAAACCTCGTTGATCCTGTAATGCTGAACAAACATGGCCATGCTGCATATTTCTGTTATCATAGGTTTATGAGGACAAGAGATATGAAGTACTTGGCTGATTTCAGAGCCATCAGTGCCCCAATAAGCGAGGAAACACCACCGTGTAACACTGGCCTGCGGTCTGCTGGTGGGAGGAAGTGGAGCCACAGCAGGCGCAGTGCCAGTGCAAACACATGCACATCATCAGCTTGCTGATCCATCATGCGGACTCTAGCTTTGATCTAAGCTAACGTTCAGCGGCGAGGGGGTTAACAGGGTGACATGCTAGTAGTTTGCATCAGTTTGAGGACACTGCAGCTGTGGTGAGGTGCTCAGAGTGGCATTTAAGCGCCAAACTGAGACTAGAACAAGTCTCTGAGCTTGGATAGTATTTGGCTGAGGGGGAAAGCGGTACTTTGGCATTCACCGTCTGTTGTTGTGGAAGGGCGGAGAACTATCTACGCACACGACGGCAGCTCAGCACACAAACACACGCATACACGGTCGTACATCAAGGGTCCCTACTAAACACTCGTTACCTTGCGTTTTCTGGTCTCAGCTGAACCACTCCACACGAAACACTGATAAATGACCCTCAGGTTCTGCTTCCAGTTGTCCACTTTGAAGCCGTTGACATGGGGGCAGCCTGCGGGACTCATGGTAGTCACAGCATCCGGCTTCACTGTCCACTGAGCGACGAAACCTGTTCAAATCCCTCAAAGCAGACCCAGTCCAAGCGGGCTGACTCGCTAGCTCTGCCAGGGTTCGTTATCCACCAAGTGCTGCGTTCTGGCTAACTGGACATGTCCTGGTTGCAGTAGCAGAGACACGCGCAGTAGCAAGCATGAAGACGAATTTTACAATATACCTCTTTTGGAGATGTGTATCATTTATGTATTTAAATCCAGCTATACCGCTTTACATGTAGTTCTTCACAGTCGCTCAGTTACACGTTAGCAAGCTGGCTAAAGTTGGTTAGCATTGGAATTTCAAGTAGCTTACACGGCGAGTGTCGTTAAGACCCACCTCATTCATAGCGACGGACCAATCACGACCGAGTGCTGCATGTGATTGACATGTGCCAACTTTCGTTCAGAGGGTAAAGTCCTGCCTCTAAAAAGAAGGGCGCTTCGTCTTGATTGGTGGAATTCTCCAGCTAACCACATCCGCTTGCATACGTACGTTCATTGGCTGAAGCGAAAATTAGCTTCAGCGTAACAATTACAAAAAAAAAAGAAAAAAAAAGTGACAGTCCATGAATGGATGAGAATTGAAACACACCGTAAAGACGAGGGCCCGTGTCGAAGAGAATCTTTCCATAAAGGCATGAAACCCAGAACTATATTCTTAAACAATTTATTATTAACAGATCCACAATCGCCAAGCTCAAGCTCCCAAAATTACATGACAGTTTGGTTTCATCTGTTGACTTCACCTCTTGTAATAACAAGCTGTCAAATCGGTTTTCTGTACAGTGCTCTAGCGACCTCTAGTGGATCCGACCTAAAAAAACAAAACAACAACAAAAACAAAAAAACCCTAAACAAAAGAAAAACAAAACAAAAGAAAAACAAAACAGTGCACCAGATTGTGAACGACTCCTCCATTGTGCCGAGTTTTGGTCAAGGGCATGTCCATGTGTACAGATTCACTATTGATGATATCTACATTCTAACCGGCAGGAGTGAGAGGGAAACGATCGCTTGCAGTCTTTACAAATGCAGAATTTTATCAGATTCATTCTTCATCAATTTTAGATGTTTGACCTTGTACGTAATGCCCTCAAAGTCACGGCCATCATGCAGCAGAACCAAAACAAACAGTGAGATTTTTCACATACGTTTGGAACAAATAAGTCCAGTTTTTATTATTGTGATTTCTGTTAATGTAGCAGTGGCGCTTCAACCTGAACATTGATAAATAAAACACTGACAAAATTGTAATTTTTTTTCTTTTTTTCCTCCTTTTTCTGTAAGGATCTCACGTTATCCTTAAGACACTGTGAAGTAAGAATAACCAAATTTATCATCATTCCACACAATTAGATTTTCCTTGACCAATGTCCTTATGTGAGATAGAATGTTTGTTTTTCCTCTTTTAAAAAAATCCAACTCATCCTGGGAAGAACGTGTTGGGTGGCTGCAGCGTTCTCTCCCCATCCAAGGCCCCTCAGGAATAACTAGACGTTTTGCTACCGACATCATCCTCCTGCGATCCCATACTCTGAAGGGGAAACAAAAAACAAAACAACACAAAACATCAAAGCTGTTATCTGAACACATCAGGCGGAGCCACTGCTGCAAACCAGTTTCTGCTGCACTTTCACCAACAATGAGTGATTGTTTTGTTCAGGTCTCAATGCCCAATATTACTTGGTGGTATTGCGTATTGCCATTCTGGGAACTAACTCCTTAGACTTTTTCCCCAGTTTGTGTTGATATATACCAGTGGTTCCCAAACTTCTTTTGCTGGGCCCCCTTTGTTTTACAAGAAAAATGTTCACACCGTGTCCAAGCGTTTTGTTTTTTTCTCCCCCTTTTCATAACGCGCCTCCCCTAGGGGGCGGGCCCCACACTTTGGGAAGGTCTGATATGTACAATAAGGAAGTGTGCAGCTACTTGACTGGTCGTTTAAAAGTTGCTGTCCTTGTTTGTTGGCACTGAAAATCCAAGCCACTTAACTTTAAATGTCCATAGCTCCATCACCGTTTGTTCTTGAGACAAAATTTAAAACTGTTTTGGAAGGAAGGGAAGACGAGCTTTACAGCAATATCTGGTGTATTGTGGTAGCACAAAGTATTCACAAGGTACTACTGTCTGAACAGGCAGATGTTACCATGTGCACTTCACATTATTGTTGGTCCTCAACCATTGTGGACCAGAGAGAAAATTCAAATAGTTCTTGAAAGCTGAGAATTATTTAGTAAATTTACAGCCAAAATTACAAAATGAGTCACAATGTACGACTAGCCCAGGCAGCGCCTCTCAATGATGGAAAGGTGTAAACAAACGAGGTAAACTATAAGCAAGAAGACAGCTGTGCAAACCATTTAGCTTCTGTAGAAAATAAGCGTTTGTATGTAATATGTAAGATTAAACTGATATAAAACCACGCAGGCCTGCAAGGAAGGCAGGTTGCTGCTAACTTTAGCCAGATTTGACAAATTAATTTGTGTTTTATTAGCACAATGGTTCACAATTTGATAGAAAGTGAGCCTGACTGCTGCTATTAAAGTGGTTAATGACATTGTTGATTCAATGGACTGCAAAAAATACTGTGCTGCTCTTTTTCTTGACTTGTCAAAGGCTTTTGATACAGTTGACTATGCTATTTTATTAAATAGACCAATATTGTTTAGTCTATCTGTAAATGCTGTAAGTTGGTTTTCAAATTACTTGTCAGCAAGAAAACAGTGTGTCCATGCTGCTGGGTCTTCTTCCTCTTTTCTCCCAGTATCCAAAGGAGTTCCGCAGGGCTCCATATTAGGGCCTTTGCTATTTTCTCTTTACATAAACAACCTTTGTGATAATTTGTCAAATGCAGCATTTCATCTTTATGCAGACGATACAATTATTTATTGTTCACCCCCTTCAGTAGCACAAACCCTGCAATTTCTGCAGTCTGCCTTTGATGTAGTTCAGTCCCATTTAACTCAACTTAAGTTGGTGTTAAATCCAGAGAAATCCAATTTCATGTTATTCTCAAATGGCAAAGAGTTGTTAGCTACGTCTCCTAAGATTAAAACAATTCAAGGAACTGAAATTGAAATGGTCACATCTTACAAGTATCTAGGGATCATTATAGATCAGAATTTGTCATTTAAAACTCACATTCAAAGGCTTGTGTCAAAGTTAAAACTAAAACTAGGTTACTTTTTTAGAAATCAATTCTGTTTCTCCCTCCAAGTGAGAAAACACTTGATTCATGCAACTTTTTTTTACCTTTATTGGATTATGGTGACCTGCTTTTTATGAATGCACCTGCCCACTACCTAAAGAGGTTGGATACTGGCTACCATTGTGCTTTACGTTTTATTACTGGCTATGGAAATCGTGCACATTATTGTTCTTTGTACGCTGCTGCTAAATGTCCATCTTTGCATATTCGCAGACTCTCCCATTGGTTGATCTTTATCTATAAATCTCTCCTTGGGCTGGTTCCATCAATACAGCCTTCGTTCTCACAATATCATACAATTGATTGTCCCAAAAATCAGAACAGAATTGAACAGAATCAATCAGAATTGGTTACCTTGGGAGAGTTTAAGTCTGTCTTAAAGGAACGAGAGAATAACTCTTTTACTCAGTGTGATTGTTTTTAATGTACTCTTAATTTGATCTGTTATTGTATATTTTACACATGTTGGTATAGGATATTGTATTTGTTTTAAATGTTATATACTTATGTGTATTTTGACTTTTGTTGCCATGATGCCAGGTCTCTCTTGAAAATGAGATTTTTAATCTCAATGAGATTTTTTACCTGGATAAATAAAGGACTAATAAATATTTGGTTAAGAAAAATAATTCTCACGCTGTTATAGCTGGGAAAGCCTCCTACACCTGAGTTTAGGGTGAACGACCCCACAAACGGCCCAAAAAACTAAAAGTGAAAGCATTCTTGTCGTCACATTCCCGACCTGATAAGCTTGGATCAGATTCTTCATCCAAAACAGCGTCTTGGTTTTTGTCTACAGCCAAAGGCTCGCCACCCTCCATAAGGAAGGTTGGGTTAGTTTGAAACGGAAGCCAATGTGCAAATTTGTGCAAGTTTTAGCACCATAGTGTAAAAACAGGACGTCCAGGGGGCAATCTTTAAAAAGGGAAAAAGAAGCACCAGGCTAGGACCGTTTTCTGACTTGCACAGTTGGAAATGTTCTTGAAGGGAGAGATCTATAATTTGAATCAGGTGTAGTTTTTGGTTTTTATGGATAGAAATGCGAAACCTTATGATCACACATTGCATAACAAGCGGCATGTCAGTTACACTGAAAAGGGAGAATTACAGAGTCAGTGTTTATCAAACGCCCAGCAATGGATTTCATGAAACAGTGACTGAAGACACCATGTGACTTGGCAACACAATCTGCTCAGGCATGCCACATGTGCAACAAACAGTGATCACACTGTTTCTAAACCTCTAAGCATCTTATCCTCTGCTTCAATAAAAAGTTTAAAATTTGAACTTTTTGGACAACATACACGCCGACAGGAGAACATCTTTAGTCTGGCTCATTCTACCAAAAATACACACATAAGCCAAAATAAGAAAAAGCAACTCCAGTGCTGCTGGAGCCCCCCCCCTCACCTTCTGCACAAATTGTGGGTTTACTGTGATTTCCTGATCCATAGACTTTAGTTTCTCATCCAGCTGTATACATTTCAACATCTGAAAAGAGAGGGAAAAAAAAAGACACGTGCTCATTTTCAAAAATTCATGCAGGATTTGTGTATTGCAACTGCAAACAATCCATGCAAAGCACAAGAACAGTGAACACAGATGTGAGCCTCCACACCTCTTGGTCAATTTTGTGGAGCATTGCTGGGTTGTTGTATTTTTCAGGGTTGTCATGGAAGCAGACCATACCATCTTTTTGGTTAATGCTAGCATAGATCTCACCATCTTCAATCTGCAAAGAAGAAAACAAGAGGGAATGCAGAAAATCCAGCGTAAAGACTATTGTTATATGGTCGTTAAGGCCTTCAAGTCCAAAACGGTCCAACACAACAGATAAAAGACTTGTGTAATACATCTATAGCTAAAAAAAATATCAAACCATTTCACAAACACGTAAAGTTGGATATCGTGATTTAAATCAGCATCAACTGGATTGTATTTTTTGTGCTTTGGTCTCTCTGGAGAACTCACCATGTGTAAGACGTATTTCTCTGCTTCCTGCGGGCCTGAAAGCTGCACTCGACTCGCCATATCTTGCAAAGACAGTGTCAGGAAGGTCTGTGGGGTTCGCACAGAGGAAAAACCGATATCAGATCTAGTGAATGGGCAAAAGCCCGCCATCTAAACTCCAGTTTGTTTCAAATAAATCCCTTGACAACTCAACGAACGTCTCTTTAACCTCAGTAAAGAAGCTCTCAGTACTCTGGATTGTCTGGCTAGCTGGTGCTTTGGATTTGTGCCTGTCTGTTTGAGCTGGCATGTGCAA